AAAAATATTTTAAATTATAAAGCTATATTTTTTTTGGATTCTTACAATATTATAAGTCATATTTACTCTATTTATGTCTTCAATAGTCATTTTCTGGTGCATTCTAGCTCATTCCAGTTGCTTTTTCATGGCTTCAGTTAAACGTGGTTTTTTCGTTCGACGACGACCCATTAAATTTTCTTCCTTTTGGAGACGTTGATTTATTGTTTATCATTGTAGCAAGTTAATCCACACTTTTTTTTCTTCCTGCATTTAATACAGATGTCCTTGATTTTACGGTTACAAAGTGGATTAGTTAATTTATTTTTTGCCACTTCTGCAGTCTGGTTCTAAGGGCACTTTTCTATCAATTTTTTTTTTATTCGGTTCACTGAACAAGAGTTAAAATTAAAGAAAGTTCTTTTATTAAGTTCCTTGGTATTAATCTTGATGAAAACCTGTCATAGAAAACACATACTGATTTATATATCAACAAAAGTTTTTTTAAAAGGTTTTTTAAATGAATGTGTGCAGGCAAAAGATAACTAATCACGTTAAAAAGATGATTAACCACGTTGCGTGTGATAAATAGTTGAATAAATAGATCATTATTACCTATTTTGCTGCATCATACAAAATTGAGGAACTTTTTATTTTTTAGCGAATATTTTCAGACCCCTACCACACCCCCTACCAACTCTCGCGACCTTCCAATGCCACTGTATATATATATATATATATATATATATATATATATATATATATATATATATATATATATATATATATATATATATATATATATATATATATATATATATATATATATATATATATATGTATATGTATGAATATATATGTATATATATATATATATATATATATATATATATATATATATATATACATATATATATATATATATATATATATATATATATATATATATATATATATATATATATATATATATATATATATATATATATATATATATACTACCTGTTTGATACACACACATTATTATTTTAACAAAAATAAAAATGCTAATCAATGTATGTTTATTAGACATGTTTCCAACATAAAGTTCATCTTTAGTAAAATATAAAATTATAAAATTAAAAACATAAAAAAAACTAAAAAAATTAAGAAAATTAAGAAGTAAACAAATTAAGTATATGAGAGTTAATATTATTCAAAAATCCTATGTTACACCTGCAGGGGCGCACAGAGACTTCATGGTTCACGCGGTATGTTATTATAAAAATTTACTGGATGCTCCTCTAACCACCACAAAAATAAAAATAATAAGAAAAATAAAGCTATTATTTCTAGTATTCACAAAATATTTTTAAAATTCTGTATATAAGACAGTTCACGAATCAAACAATTAAACACAACACAACAAAGAAAAAATTTCTGGATTTGGTATCAAGTTTTTCTGATGTTATACCAAGACTTTATGAGCTTTTCTAGCAACAAACTTAGAAGTTACAACATCGTAATTAACTTTCTTCGCAAGATCTGTTTCGATTGAATAGATAAGACAGTCGTTAAGACAATCCTGTCCCATGGTAACTCTTAGAGAGTTATTGAAGAGGACTTATTTGCTAAAAGATTTCTCGCCTTTAGCCACAGATATTGGCAAAGTAAGAAAGATACGAAAACATATGCATATATGGGGGAAATTTTCTTAAAATCCCTTCGCATAAATGCTATTCAGAAGATCTAAGGGCCGATTATTTGTCAGTAGATGGTGTCAAACAGACGAAAAGTGGCGGAACTTATCAATAAACTCGTCTTCACTAAGATCGTTTGGATGCAGAAGTACGAGATCTTTAACTTTAGATTCTTGACTGATTGTTTAGTCCGAAATGATGTCAGGCGTAGATCAGGTGAAGGAAAATAATCTACATTGCTGTTTCAGAGCTTGAAATTTCTCTGCAATCTGATGGATGAAGGTATCTAATCCAGAGTTGAATACGCCAACTTCAAATGCTTTTGATTCATCATTTTGTTACTGAGACGCGTTGCTAGATTTGTTTTTTTTTTTTAACAAAATCAGTTTTGAAACCAAGGTTAGTAGCTACTTTTTTTGACTTGTCCAAAGTGGCATCCCAGGAGAATCGAATTTGCATTAAATCTTCAAACAATCTTTCTATAGATTTCATCTTTTCATTCAAGTTGATGCTGCGAAATTGTAAAAGGATGCTAGCATTGTTCACAGTTGTCAATAGTTTCAACCAGAAGGTAATAAAAATGACAAACTCAAAGGACTTTATCCACTTGAGAAAATAACGTACTATAGTTAAAACGACAGCAATAAGATCCATTTCTTTCAACGCTTTGATTATCTTTCTTGGTCTCTTTGAAAGTGGCTTTATAGATTCAATTCGAGCGCTCTACTTTGTCTGTGAAGCTTGGTGTAAAGAAAGAATAAAAACGACAACATGTTGTTCTTATGTGGGTCAGAAGACAATGCAAAAAGAGAACAAGAGAAGCAGAAAAGGGCGGCTGCCGATTCACTTCATACAAGGCAATCTATTTTCAGTCTCTCTCCATTTTGTAACGCTTCGGCAAATACTGATGTTGGAAAGATGCGGTTCCTTGAATCCCTTGTAAGGTCTGCATGACTTAAAGGAGGGCTTATCAAAACGACAGTATCTCTATTTTTAATTAATAAAGCTGTCCAAAGAGCTAGGTCCTTAGAGATGTGATTGATTGAAATGGCTGAAGTAGAATCCATCTTGTCTATTCTACGGTCTTCATTATCTTTACACAATAGTTGTGATTTGTAAGAGAGATGTGTTGGATCACTACTGCTTTCAGAATCAGATTCAACTCTTAAAACCTTTAAAAAATTTGAATACATCACCAATATATTGTTTGACATTATGAACAATCAAACAGGAATGTTATCTGATTACAATACAAAATGATGAAAGGTTTACCTGAAGTTGCTGCTGAGGCTCTTTTTTCTTACTGTTATTTTTTATAATTAGTCCGCTTGTTTTTTTCTTCAGCAGCTTTTTTTACTCTCTTCTTTTTTCGTCCTGCAGCGCCTGATGGCTGCTTCCGTTTGGTTAAAGAGTTGATTGTAGACTGATTGGTTTTCATTTCCCAGTAAGAAAAAGACGTCGTGCCGTTGTTGTAATTTGGTTGGATTTTAGTCGCGACGCGAGTTAACTAAATTCCAACGATGTTACAACGTCGGCATAACAGTGTTATTCTAACGTTGTCTAACAAACGTTAGAACAACTTCGGAAAAACGTTATCATCTAACGTCTTAAACGTCAACATTAAAACGACGTTGGAACAACGTTGGTTATTTAACGTTAGCCTGATTAACGTTAGAACGTCTTTGGAACAACGTTGCTTTATTTACGTTTTTACTTTTGTCATCAAAGCAACATAAGCACAAAAAAAAACTTGCACATTTTAAAATGGTTGAAAAAACCGTTAATGAAGAAAATGTTATTTTTAATCTGGTTTTTAGGCATTATGATCTTTAATACTAATGTTTATTACATTATTTTTTTATATTCTCTAGTCTAATTATATATGTAGTTTTTAAACATTGTCATGAGAAAATAAAGTTACAAAAACTTTATTTGACTTTCAAAACTATTACACATAATATTTAATTTAAAAATAACTAATCATTAGTTATTTTTAACTATCTAATATATGAAACTTGAGACTCAAAATCTCGTGAGTCAGTATCAGTTATAATATTATAGGAGTAGAATGCGATAAAGCTTTTATCAGTAAATTTAACTTTAGAATCACTTAATAACTTATTAAGTGATAAATAACATCTGCAATGTCAAAAATAAAACAACATTTGAACAATGCTGGTTGTACAAACAACCAGCATTGTTCAGATAATGTTTTATTTTTGACATTGCAGATGTTATTATGAAAATCAAAAAAACATTAGTCTGATTGACATTAAAACTCTTTTTACACTTTATATATATATATATATATATATATATATATATATATATATATATATATATATATATATATATATCATACATATATATATATATATATATATATATATATATATACATACATATATATATATATATATATATATATATATATATATATATATATATATATATATATATATACATATATATATATATATATATATATATATATATATATATATATATATATATATATATATATATGTATACATATATGCATATACATATACATATATACATACATATGTATATATATATGTATATATATATATATATATATGTATACATATATACATATACATATATATATATATATATATATATATATATAAATATATATAAATATATATATATATATATATTATATATATATATATATATATATATATATATATATATATATATATGTATATATACATTTTATTTTTGATTAAAAATTTAATTTAAATCAACTTAGTCTCAGAAAATTCTGCATGTAGAATGTTCTTAGGCTGAGATGATTCAAAATAAAATTCAAATTTTTATTTCCTGGTGCACAAGGAATTAAAAAGAACTTTAAGTTTTATTAACAAATAAATAACAAAAGAATGGGTATATAAATAGTTTAATTAGGCTTTTTTTCAAGAAATAAAATGCTAATTATTTAACATTTTAGTTAGTTGGAGTTACTATTTTAGTTAGATGGAGTATTTATTTGATATTTTTACTATTTCTTTGATATTTTAGTTCAATTATGTTAATACATGATAAATTATTTATTTGTTTATGGAAATTTTATGCTACTTTAAGTTCCTTATGGAATTAGTTCCAGACAAGGTAAATATCTTCCTTATAACTTAGATCTAAGTTATAAGGAAGATAATTACCTTACTAAGGTCTGTCTATAGACAGACCTTAAAAATCATAATATGTGTATATTAATATATGTACATATACATATATAGTAGTACTTTTTATTTGAAGATTAGCATTTTATTTTTTTATAACTTGCTGGTTGAAGAAAACAAAATCATAGTATTTGTATTTTCAACATTATTGTTTTCTCTTTTACATTAAAAACAATTTCATAAAAAGTACATTATAACATTATTTAGGTTGATAAATCTTTGTAAAGGTAATATTTTGTTTTTTCTATATAATAATTTATTACAAAACTTCATATTAATAAATAATTTTAAATTATTCATTTTTTTAACTTTACTAATATAAATATGATAGTTGTTTAAAATTATTTTTTTATTGATATTATTCTGAAAAAATTTATTTATTTTTTCTGTTTTACCATTATGTAGTGTGCTGTTATGTCTGAATGGTGTCGTGTAAAGTGGCTTGAAGAAGAAAAAGTTTGACACTGTTCCTTTAAGTTGGATTAATGGTTAAGTTTTGAGATGGCCATAAAAAGGAGCTGAAAAAAAGTTAAGGGACCAGGTTAAACCTCATGATGATTGGTTTAAATTTCAAGTTCTCAAAATTAAATTAACTGATAAAGATTTTATGACTTGCCATTCATATAACATTACAACTGATACTGACTCTTGTGATTTTGATTTTAAAAAAGATCTCAAGTTGCAAAAAAAAGTAAAAAGTAATTTTTTGTGTTTGCATATTAAGTTATATAGTATTCTGATATTTATTTTTTAAATTTTTTTGTTTATTTAATTATTTTTTGGAATTAATTTTTTTGACTTAATTTTTTTAAATCAAATTTTTTTTTTTATTGAATCATTCATTTTTTAATTTTTTTTTTAACATTTTGCAGTACACTTCCTCCAAAGCCTGAAATCAAGTTAGGTTTTAGAAATAAAAAAGCATTTACCCCAGAATTAGAAAAAGAACCTAAATCTTTCACAAGAAGCTAGTCAGAATAAAGTAAATATTGATTTGAATCAACCTACTCAGTCAGTATTTAGTTTTCGAAGTTCATCAAAATCCCATAATTCAAGGAAATCGCGCTTTCGATCTTCCAGTAGTTCTTGTTCACTATCTCCTCAAAGTAAAAGTAAAAGAAGACCAGATTATTGTTCTCTTTTACAATCAGAGAAAATTGAAACACAGAGTGAACTCTCTTGTGGATTACCAAAAAGTAAAGAACATTCTACTCTGGCTATTAACAAAAATAACTTTCCAATGAGTGATCAAAGTGTGTAGATTTTTTTTTCAGTATTTATACATACTGAAAAAATATTATTCATAATATATTTTTATTTTATTTTTTATATAAGTCAGTTATTATAATTATTTCATGGAGGCATATTATGTTTAAAAAGTATTACAATTAAAGATAAATTTTTATAAAAATTTACCCTGTAGTTTAATAAATTATACTTTTGTTTTTTTTTCTTTTATTTTTGTGTGTAGAATTCCAGTATGAAGTCATGTTTACAATGTCAACCCAAAAGTACATTGTCACATAATTTAAGTGCGGAAATTCCAACTCAATTCTTGACAGTAGAAGATTTGAATGAATTTGAACTTAAAATGCATGATAATAGTTTTGCACAAGAATTTGTGAGTTATATTTTTTAATATTTTTAAAAGCAATTTAGAGAAAAAAAGATGGACGATAAAATGATTATTAATCAATTGCTTTTGCAACTAATGTCACCTTATTTATAACCTATTTATTTTTAAACTATTTAGGTTGTAGCATTACTATAACTTAAGTATTATTAACTAATTAAATTGTTTAAAAATTTATTACACTTATATAAAAATTTTATATGTGAAATATTTCAATTTGGCTGGTATTTTTTTTCTATTTAAGGTTAAACAACTCTCACGTGTTGGTGGAAAATCATCTAAATATATGGTTAAGGACCTAATTCAAAGGTAATTTTTGTATTTTCAAAATTTGATTTTTATATGTTACATTTACTTCATATTACTATTAAGTTAGAAACTGCATAAATTACTAAATGATATCTTTTAGTTGTTTTATTTATTTTCATCTAAGATTGATGTCAAATGATCTTCAGAAAAAATTCAGCATGATTGGTTTAAAAAGAAAGCTTAAGTTTGAAAAAACTTTGTTGTATAATGTAATAAATAGTGAGTTTGTTTATAGGTTGTTTTTTTTTTAAAATAACATTTTCCTAAATAGCATTATTGCTGTTACATTATCTGGCAGATGTGTATTTTAGACACCCCCTTTTAGTAAGTTCGTAAAAAATGAGTCATGTTAAACATATAACATTTATTGAAAATTATACTTTTACCCTGAAGCCAACAATAAAGTTTATTTTATTAAAAGCCATGCCCTAATCAAACGCTGAGCCTAATCCTAAGAGTCATGGCTAGGGTTTGGTTAGGGTATGGTTTTCAACAATATTTTTTTCATATAAAACTTTTTTACAGACTTAGTAATGAAAGGCTTTAAATTAGCCTGAAATACACGTCTGCCCAATATATTATACTAATCTATCTTAATACTGCATCCTAATACTTTTTTTGTATAATTGTTTATCTTAGAAGCAGTATTAAATGTTTTTCCGGATGCTACCAGCTCAGAAGTAGGAATAGGAGTGATGAACCATTTAAAATATGCCGGAAAACACTTCGGACAAGCGCCAGAAATGATGTCATGTCTATCAGTTCAAATTTTGCAGAAGAAGCCAGTAAAACATAATTTTTATATAATTTTTTCACTGAGTGTTTTTTTTTTTTTTTTTTTTTTTTACTTCAATATAATAAAGTCTTTATTTTTCAACATTTCTTTTGAATTTCTTAAACACAATATTAAATAAATATTAAGAAGAAAAAACTTTTTTTGTTTATGTGAATTTTAAAACTTAAGTTGTTAAACTTTAAAGATCTTTTAAATTAGTTTACCATATATTATTAAATCATGTGTCATTTTTTGATCATTGTTTTGAATAACATAAATATAGTTCTGTTTTTAAAAGATTTACTATTTGTTTTATTATTTGTGATGGATTATAAATAATAATATTAATCAATATAAAAATTAAATCAATGGTTAAATAATGCTTCAAAATCATTTTTTACTTACAATTTTTTTTAAGATTCTTATGATGAAAGTTTATTTCTAAAAAGTTACAAAAGCTTTGTTTAAATTTTAACAGTTTGTGTAATATTTTGTGTTTTTATACTAAATAGCAACATTTAATGATAAAAATGTTAATTAAACAAAATTATATAATTTTTATATAAATTAATTGTTATATATATATATATATTCTTTTTTTTTAAGTATTATAGATAAGAAATACAAAGATATACAATGACATCAAGGTCTACAATATGGAGAAAGACTAATTCTTTGATTGCCAGTATATTAGAAAATAATAATTATCAAAGTTCAACTGGTGAGTTTTTTTCTAGTCTAATTCATAATAGTGTTGATACTTTCGAAAGTGATTCTACATTACCAATAACTGAACTCTCTTCAACAAGTGATGATTTTAGTAACTCTTTTGAGTCTTTTCATTCTAAACATTGTCCTGATTTAACACATGATCTTGCTCAGTGGGCGGTTAAGCATGCAGTTACACATTTTTCATTAAATGATTTGCTTATTTTGTTGCAAAAACACGGACACGAGGACTTACCAAAAAATTCTAAAACTTTACTTAAAACGCCTAATTGTGTGCTTACTGAAAATATGTGCTCTGGTGACTATATCTATCTAGGTTTAGCTACTGGTATTAAAAATATGCTCCAAGTTGATGAAGCAAGTATCAATAACAACATAAATTTAATAGTAAATTTAGATGGTCTGCCGCTTTTTAAATCTAGCAATACTCAGCTTTGGCCTTTACTTTGTCAATTTGGTTCTAAACCTTCGTTTCCTGTTGCTTTTTTCTCTGGCAAACAAAAACCTAACTCTTCTATGGAGTTTCTCAGGCAGTTTTTGGAGGAATTCAAAATGCTTTCAGAAAATGGTCTTGTTTACAAAGATAATTTTTTTAATGTCAGTTTAAAGTTTTGGACATGTAATGCTCCGGCACGTGCTTTTATTAAATGTATAAAGCCACACAATGCTTACCATGGCTGTAAACGATGTATTGACAAGGGTGAATGGCAAGGAAGAGTTGTTTTTAATCAGGTTAATTCTGTTCTTCATTCAGACAAACAATTCTAAAATGTATTATAAAGATCATCAAGTATCTAGAAGTCCTTTGATTGATTTTAATTTACCTTGTGTTTCTACCTTTGTTTTAGACTATATGCATTTAGTTTGTCTTGGGGTTGTTTCGACGACTCATAATATTTTGGACAGAGGGACCAAATTAACCGCATAACTGAAAAATTAAATGACTTATCTGGTAAAATGCCATCTGATTTTGTCAGACAGCCTAGATCACTACGAGAGTGTAAAAGATGGAAAGCTACAGAGTTTCGTTGATTTCTATGTATACTGGTCCCTATGTATTGAAAAATGTATTAAAACATGATCTTTATATACATTTTCTTTGTCTTAGTATTGCTATTCGTGTGTTAAATGACAATAATTCTAGTTCTAATGCCATTGGCTATGCATCAATGCTGTTAAATTGGTTTGTATCTAAGTCTGTGGATTATTATGGTTCAAAATTTACTACATATAAGGTTCATAACCTGATTCATTTGTCTGAAGATGTTATAAAATTTCAAATGACCCTACTTGATATGTCTGTCTTTTCGTTTGAAAATTATTTGCAGCGTCTGAAAAGATTGGTTCGTGGTAAGAACATGCCACTTGCTCAAATTGTCAAGCGTTTAGAAGAAATAGATTGTTTAGATAATAAATTTTTGAGAAACACAAATCAAAAGTAGTCCCTGGTAGTAAAGATAGCTGGTTTTATTTGAAAAGTGGTCATTTGGCACAGGTTATTGAAATCAATTTCGATTCTTTACTTTGTGAAATAATTTCATGTCGGCTTTTTAATGACTTCTTTGTTGTACCATGCAGTTCAAGATATAACAAAATATTATCTGTGCCAAAAAATGCTTCTGTAAAAAGAAAAACTGTTCAAAAAACTGAACTCAAACGCAAAGTTATTAGTTTTAAAGGTAGAATAAGAAATGTTGTTTTCCCATTATGTCATGATTGTGTGTTTTTTTTGAATAATTTTTGTTTGTTTTATCTATTTAAAATTTTTTTTATTGTCAGTTGTATTAGTTTTTGAATGCAGTTTATTGAGAATCATATATGGTAAATATATTCCCTACTATTTCAACATTTATGTTAAATATATATTTAATAATGAAATTTTGTTAAATTTTATTTAATTTTAGATATTTTTCAATCGAAAATTAATTTTCATCCTAACATTTCATTTAAATCCTAATTGAAACATTCAAATTTTGCAAATTTGAATGTTTCAATTAGGATGTTAGAAGGTGTTTTATAAAAGTTTGTTATTTAAAAAAAAATTTATTTTGATAGTTATAAAAGAAATTAAGTTATTTTTTTCTATTTTAAAGGATTTTGCTCAAAGATTTTCTGTCAATAATTTTTCAAAAAAAGGAATACTCAAGTGAGCATCAAGTAACAAGTTAGATCAATTTCTGGTATTTATGTTAGTTTTTTCTATTTGTTCTTTCTGAATGTTTTTCGTTTGTTGATAATGCTTTTAATTAAATTTGTTTATAACTGTTTATTTATATGAATTTATCTATTAGTGTCAAACAAAGAATACACGAATTAATTGAGATATGCTAGAAGTTTGGAAAGAATGTAAAAATTAAACTAGTTTCACTCTAAGTTATTGTATATAATTTTAAAATTTTGAAATAGAAGTATTGTAAAGTTTATTTTTCTTTTTTAGTCTTTTAATTTTCATATTCAATTAGTTGCCCGGACTAGTATAATTGCCATGTATGAACTAAATAAATAAAAGGAAAAAAAAAATCACAGCACGATGTTATACAGTGCAACATAGTGCTTTATTGCTCTTAGTGTAGAAATAACATCGTGAAAATGTTAGAAATACATTGGTGATTGTTTTTCTTATAAAGTTTGGCCAACGTCATCAAAATAACGTTAGCCTATGTTTTATTTCAGCCATTATTCCAACGTCTAAACAACGATAGAATAGACATTGTCTCAACGTCATTTCGCTCAAAATACAACGTTTGCCCAACGTCTTCATAACGTCTTTTTTCTTAAAATTTAACGTTGTTATAACGTCTTTCCGACGTCATTTAGCTCAAATGTAACGTTGTCACAACGTCATTTTACATCGTTGCAACAACGTTAGCAAAATGACGTCTTTCCGCTGTTTCATTTATAACATCATACCAACGTCTTTCCAACGATACGGAAGACGTTGGAATAACGTTGTCCCAACGTCATTTTTCTTATTGGGTTAATATATATAGCACAAAACTATAGAACTATAGAAAGCACAAAACTATTGAAAAGAATTCTATTTATGTAGTGTAATAATCGCTGTAGCAACTTCTACATAAAAAATTATCTTAGGAAAATAATTTGTAACGTTCATTTCAATTAACCATTAACGATTTCACCATAAACAATTATCTTTCGACAATTATTTGTAAAACGCTCTTTGACAATAAATAATAATAATTGCAAAACTATTACCTTGGAGATTAATTCCGCACAAGGAATTCTCGCACAAATGGAATGAAATCCATAACGTTAAACTTAACTAAGTTAAAAAAGTTGATAGGAGAAACTACGACATTTTAAACATTTAAAAAATAACATATGTTATTTTTTAAATGTTTAAAAACGTTTGGTTGGTTATTATTCTTGAAATGGTCCTTAGTACGTAAGGAAAATGTTTGGGAAGATAGACTTTAATCCATTCAATAATTTATTTGCAGAGGTTTTTTACAACTGTTAAAGAAAATAATAATTTTGAAAAAAATGAAAAGTTCGTCAACAAAATTGTTGTATACTAAAAAGAAGATGCAAACATTAATATATTATTTCAAAAATAATATAGTAATTTTTGACAGCAATATTAATATATTATTTGAAATTATGAACTTAGAACATAATATGCTGTTTCTACTAAAATAGAGAAAGTCCCAAAAAAACCTTTCGTTCAACGAATTACTCTATAAAATTCAGCAAGTTATACCAATACTATATAATTTTCAAATAAAGACCCGAACATTAATCAAACCCATAAATTATGAGTTTGATTAGTCTAAGTGTTGGCCTTTATTAATCAAGATTGGCATTTAGACTTATCAAATCTGTTTTTGTAACATACAGCAAGTTATGGCACAATTATGCAAATATCAAATCGATTTAAGGTGGTAACAGGATTAAAAAGAGGCGTTTTTTGAAACTTGTTGAAAATTTTAAAAACTATATTTTTGAGACCTTTTGGTTTTATTTTTTGTGGAAACTTGATTTGATTTAAAAAAACTTATGCATTCATACAAAATTTACCCTTCTAGATAAAGGTATTTAAGTTCTTAGGCCATAGCAACCGCCTTAGCAATGCTTTTTTTCATATATATATATATATATATATATATATATATATATATATATATATATATATATATATATATATATATATATATATATATATATATATATATATATATATATATATATATATATATATATATATATATATATATATATTAATTAACAAAGCTATTATTACTTGGAATGGGTTCTGAAAAAAGAAATAAAAAATTACGATCAAGAAAAAGAAAAGGATTTACCACAAGAGCTTTAAATAACAATACATCAACAACAGTAAACAACTGAGTCAAAACAAATCTGATTTAAAATCAGCGTCTGGAAAAAAATTAAATGTTTCATTTTTTTTTTTTTTTTTGTTATTTAGGTGCCCCAAGAAGACCTAGCGGTCTTGTCACAGAGTACCGCGGAATTGCATTTTACAAGGAAGTTCACGCCTCCTTCCTTACCGTGACGCGAAAATATAACCAGGGCTCATTTCGAACCTGGATCTCCTGCTTATAAAACAAGCGCTCTAACCACTGCGCCACGGCCGCCAATTGGTCAATCATTTTCTGATAATAATACTCCAATTGCCATCCCTGGATGTATTTTTTTTATTGACAGTGATCTTTTCATGTCTCTTATCAATATAGTTGGACGATGCCCTGTTTGTATTGCAGAAATAGACATTGCACATATTTTATCAAATAAAATGGGTCTTGCCCAGTTTTTGAATATTTCATACACCGAATGTAATTGGAAAATAACATTTTATTCTTCAAAAGAGTGCAGTAAATTAAAGTCTACTTCAAGAAAAAAAAGTTTTGAAATTAATATACAAACAATTGCTACATTTAGAGAGATCAGTCAAGGTTTTAGTGCAATAAAAACATTTTGTTCTTGCATGAATATACCATCGCCAATGGCCAAAACAACATATTAATAGTGAGTTGCATAATGCCTACGTACAAACAGCACAAGAGTCAATGAAAAAAACTTCTAAGCAAATACATTCTAATAAAACTGCAGATGATTCTGTTGTTATTGATGCGAAAGTTAGTGGTGACGGTGCTTGGCAAAAAAGAGGATATTCTTCCTTGAATGGTGTAGTTACACTAATTTCGGAGGGGAAATGCATCGATACTGAAGTGTTAGCTAAAAAATGTAAACAATGTGAAATGTAGGAACTAAAAAAAGTGAGTGTAGATGCATATAATAACTGGAAAGAAACTCATGACTGTTCAATAAATCACATTGGCAGTGCTGGAGCTATGGAAGTTGTAGGAATGAAATGAATGTTTGCACGTTCTGTACGTCTTAATTGTCTAAGATACACATTTTTTATTGGGGATGGTGATACAAAATCCTTTGAAAAAATATGTAAATAAGATCCATATCCAGGTCATACCATTACCAAAGGAGAATGTATGGGACATGTCCAAAAATGTGTTCGAACACGACTGCGTAAACTTAAAGCCGATTACAAGAGGAAAAAGTTGACCGATTGTAAAAGCATTGGGGGAGGGAAAGGTCGGCTAACTAATAAAGTGGTGAACACTCTTCAAAACCATGTTGGAATAGCCATACGACAAAATAGTGGCAACCTGTATGAGATGGAAAAAGGCTTTTGCTGCGGTTTTACACCACGCAACAGATGAGCCAAAATTAGAAAACTGACATCAGTTCTGTCCGCGTAGCTCTGATTCCTGGTGCAGATATAAAGTGACAAAATCACAGGAGCAAAAGCATATAAAGAAAATGTTAATATTCATAAAGCTGTTTCTGATGTTATTGCTCCAATATATTCTCACAGAGGTCTTGGTAGTGATGAACTTCTGAAAAAATGTTTACACGGTGAGACACAGAATCTTTGTCAATGAGTCAAAGTCAATGAGTCTTTGAACAATTTGATATGAACACGGTGCCCAAAAAGGGTATACATTGGGAATGATGTTTTTAAAACTGCAGTTGCACCTGCTGTTATTACATACAATGATGGTGCCCAAGGACTGCTTCTAGTTTTTAATAAACTGGGCATAGACAGGGGGCATTTCACTAAAGAAGGTTTTAGAATATCTGATATTTGTCGTGTCAAACTATCTGAGAAAAAGTCAACCAGCTCAGTAAAACAAAGAAGAAAGAAACTTCTTTCAATTAGAAAAGGTCATAATGATAAAAATGAACTTGAGGAAGGAGAGACATATGCTAGTGGAGCATTTTAATTTGGTTTTTGAGTTTTATTGTTTTATTTAATTTTGTTTATTTTTTCTTGCCTTTAATTTTTCACAATTTTTATATCTACACGTGCTACGCTTTTAAATTTATATAACATGTGACCACATCTGATCTCTACGCTTTTAAATTTATATAACAACGTGTGACCACATCTGATCTCTACGCTTTTAAATTTATATAACAACGTGTGATCACATCTGATCTGTTGTTTTTTTCCATCTCCTGTTATTTAGTAAAATATGATTTTCCTAAAACATTTTATTTATAATTAACTTTCATAAATATCAGAAAGCTAGAATCTAATGAAGATGCTGTCAGGTAATTTCATCCTGGTACTGTTTATCATTTAAAAAGCGTTTACAAAATTATTAGGATTTAAAAAATACTACGCTTGATAATTAGTTTTTTTTTTTTTTTTCTTCCTTTAAACGATAAAAACGTGACGCTTTCCTCTAAACAATAAAAACGTAAAGCGCTTTTCCTTTAGATACAACTTTATCAATTAATTCTATTGTGTAAATATTTTTTGTTAAACCTGCTCATTGATGGCATAAATATGAACTTAAAAAAAACAATTTTTAAAATCGACGTTTTGGTCGCAACACCACTACCCACTCCTCCCCGTTGTTAATTATTTTGAAACTTTCTAGCATCCCTACCACACTCGCCTATTTAATGACATCATTTACGGATGACCCTATATATAACAATCTTATTAAAAAAACACAAAAACAAAAAGACATTTGTAAGTAGTTAATAATATCAAGTTATTGCTGTAAATAGAACGTAAAAAGTTCGTTCAACGTAAATTTCGATATATATACACTATG